CTTGTGACTCCCTCTGTATTCAAAAAGACAGCCGCGTCCTCAGGTGCCAGCCCCTTTCCGAACGCGCGAGCCCCCTACCTCTGCGCTTCTCTTCTGCAGCTTCTCTGGCTCTCAGTGTGCTTTTCTTTCCTTTTAGTTGTAGAATTTACAGTCAGCCAGGCTTCCTGTGGTTCTGGATGATGTCCGTATTGTTTTTCTGAGGTATTAATCAATTGTTGTGAGCGGCATCAACTTCCTGGTGTTTATCTCTGCCGCCATCTTAGTTTCTCCCGACAACTGTGATCTTACACATTTAAGATTAAATGAGATCATGTGTGTCAGTAGCCTAAGGCCTGGCACACTGAGTTCTCAATAAATGTCAGCTGTTGATTTTAATGTTAGTAACATGGACTATATTTTTCAGTAGGTTCTTTGAGGTAGGATGGTTTCTTTGCTGATCAGGGACATAGTGTTAAATGAAGGATGGAGATAATCAACAGCACCTCATAAAAGCAAAGTAACAGCAATAAAGCTAAAGTAATTTCAACTGCTAAAATAATGCTGCAAGTTCTATATACAGTAATGGGCAAGATTCCAGAAGGGCCCAATGTGCTCTCAAACGTACACTTAGCACATAAAAATACAACTCAATGTCATTAAAAATTTAATCAACGAACAAGATAATCATGTCCCTTATCAAGTGCATATATATTATGCTGGTGGTCCTATGATAGCATGCCTTTTATAGGGGTACTTTGGATATTGATAGATGGTCCAGGAAGGCCTTTTAGAGTAGATGGCACTTAAACTGAGACCAAAAGGATAAGAAGGAGATATGGGAACAAAAAGTAGGGAAAAGAGTGTCCCAGGCCGAAGGGACTGCAGGTGCAAAGATTGTGTGGAGTGTTCGACTATATGCAGGGAGTCTGGTGGGATTGGAGCATAGTGAGTGAGGTGGGGGGGTGGGGGTGGGGGGGTAAAGGTAGAGGGGCCAGATCATACAGGGCTTTGAGGCCTGGGGACAGGCCAGTGTATTTTCAGGTCAAATGCAATGGGAAGCCACTGCAGGACTTTAAGGGGGCAGTGACATGATGCAATGCACAGATTTCATCACCTTCTACTAGGCTGTGCATGCACTGCCAGCTCTTGCAGCATTTGTCTTGTAGGAGGGAGGCTCTTCACTGCACGCTTTCAGGGGCCGCTGAGCTGCAGGTGTGCTGTGAGGGAAGACCAGAGCATAGAGGTGGCAGCAGCCCTTGAATCCCCTCTGTCACCCTGTGGTCACACTGCTGGGTCTGCACCACATCTCCCAGTTACCTGGTGCTGGAGAGTCTGCTAGTTTTCCACTTGATTTTAAAAATAAGTAAATATTGCACAGCCAGTCCACAGATATGGTGAAAATACAAAGCAAATGACAGAGTTAGGGACCTGCAGCTCTAGGCAATGGCTGCAGCTATGAGAGAGGTTTTCAGGGCCCAGCCCCATCCAGGAGGACTGTTTGCTATACATGTGGTTTGGGAGGGACAGAAGGCCAGCCCCGAGGGAAATTTTGGAAGCTGACAATGGGAAGGATTTCAGTCTTAGGCAAAGAAACAGGTCAAACACCTGCACTCCCAGCCCAATTTTGAAAGACTATAATTCTAACCTGGCAAACATTAAAGAAAGTAAGTAAGTGTGCTCACGTCATTTCAACATTCCTTTTCAAACACGTGGACTTAAGGCAGCTATGTTTGAAATCCATTGAGTTTGTATTTTTGCCAAGAGTTTTGTGGGTATAAAGTTTAAAAATAGCTGTGTATACATAGGATATCTATGGGGAAATGTGGATACATTCTAGGTTGGAAAAAGGTTTTGTGACCAAGTGCCCTAATGTTTAGCTCTAGATGTTTGTAAAGAAAATAAAACACAAACGGTTCAGGTAAATACGGACTTACCCAGCAAGGGCCTGGAGGTTTCTTCCCTCCACATAACTTCTCCCTCTCACCCAGGAAGTTGGAATGGAATAACTGTGCCGCAGGCAAGTACATCCCTCCCGCACTCACTTATTTAAATCTCATCTATCAAGGGACTGCTTTGGACTAAGGACTGGTTTATAATCTGCCTGGATAGATAAGCCTTGTCCCTAAACAACTCCAAGACAAAGTAGCCTGTGATCTGTCCTGAGTCAGGGACAACCTAGTGCTCGGACATTGCAGTGGGGGAAGGGTAGCCAGGCAGGCCTCCTGAGGGAGGCGGTGCTGCACAGGGCTTCGGTGGACAGTAGGGTTTTGATGGGCGGAGAGTTGGAGAAATACCTGAGCTTTGGCACATGGGTGGGAAGGTAGGTATGTTTAGTGGAGAATTAAGAGGCTGTGTGGCTAGAGTGTAGAATAGTAAATGAATGTGAACGATGAGAGAGAATACACCGTTAAAGAACTGAGAAACCCAGAGGAGAAGGAGCTGGTTCTTTCTCGTGTGTGTTGGTAGGTTGTTGTGGGTCATGATTTGGGGGCACAGGGAAGCCAGACCTGTACAGTGTGGGGTACGTAGCAGGTGGCTGGAAATTCAGGTCTGGCCTGCAGAAAGGAGAAAAAGGAAGGCCAGCACATACCCATTTTAAAAGCTCCAATGTTTACCAAATCTGATAGCAAAGGCTGGGATGGACCCAGAACAAAATGTGATCGGGAAGAGTTCCCGGGGACGGTCACATGTGGTGGGTCACAATCCAGAGCCTGCTGCCAGGTGTCCGGGAGCGCCCACCTCCACAGGTGCTGCCAGTTCACTGCGCCTGGCAAGGACAGAGCTGGCGGGGAGCACTCCCAGGGAGCCCAGGCCAGAGCCGGGGGCTCTGGCACTGACCGGAGGAGCACAGGGGTCACTCCAGGGCTGCAGAGCCAGCTCAGGCGACGAACACAGGCCCAGACTGCCACCGAGCTTATGGACCAGAGAATTCAGAGCCCTGGGCTTGGGGTGAGTTACTTGTACTGGGCATAGGAGGCTCATTTTGCAGAAGTGGAACATAATTCTTAGAGTGGAAATAGGACAAGGAGTCTCCCTGATGCACAAATCAGTGTCTTCTGTTGTGCCAGGTGCATTTTCAGTTGTCAGACCATTTCCAAGGGCAGAGGACTTGGCAGTAAATCCATGCTACTCACTAGCCTCTTCTTGTTTCTTACCTCACTAGAGTCAGACACATCTCATGTGATAGGAGGAAGCCTGAAGGGATAATGAACAGTCTGGCCCTGGTTGAATAGGGGGCAAGACCAGCTGCTAAGAATAGTGCAAACCACGGTTTAGGGGGCATTGAGAACTTGAAACAGGTTTGGACAGGGGAAGCCTTTAAGAGTGGGTGAAAATTGCCCAAATAGTCGCGGATTGGTGGAGTGAATGGGAGTGACTCAGCACAGGATGCCTAACAGCTATGGGTGGAAACTGGGCTACTGCCCCAGAGGGCTCGGTGCCTGGTGAGGAGTCATCAGAAGGCCAGAGGGAAAGTAGGTTGTAATTTCTCTTGGGAAAATATCTAGGGATGGGATTTGCTACATCACAGAATATATGTTTAATTTTATGAAAAACTCCAGACCTGCTCTTGCCACAGTACTTACTAGATCTAGAAGCCAGAGGAGACGGTGTGGGGAGTAGGGGAACAGGGGGATGGCTGAGAGAGGTGGAGGGATTGGTGGGGAGGGAGGGTGGTTAGGGAAGGGCGGCTCAGAGTTAGAGAGCTAGGAGGAACAGCACTGGGTGGTAACAAGCACTCAGGTCTGGCTTTGCCGGCGGCGGTGGCTTGAAATGGAGGAAAGAAAATACCCAGGGAGGTTGAGGGTGTGATGTTGGAAAGATGATTCCCTCTTGGGTGAAGTTCTATCCAGACAGACAGATGAGAGGTGGTGGTAGAATAGCTAGTTGTCAAGAGCACGATGAAGCCAAACCTGTCTGCCACCTGCACAGGGAGTCTGTGAAGGGACGAGAGCCTGCTGGGCAGAGCAAGTGCCGTCCCACAGCCCGAGGGAAGAAAAAAACATCAACCTTTATTAAATACCTGCCATGTTGCAGGCAGTATAGGAACTTTTGCACAAGTTATATCATTTAATTTTTGTAATGATCCTTGAATGTTGTCCATATTTTACACATGATAAAACAGAGGCTCACTGGGAGGGGTGGGAGCGGGGTAGAGGGGATCAATGGGAGAAACAGGGGGACACCTGTAAAGATTTAACAATAAAGATTTAAAAACAAACAAACAACACACCAAAAGAGAGAAGTGAAATAACTTACCCCAGGTTCATAGTGAGTGGAGTCAGAATTGGAAGCCAGATCTATTTGATGCCAAAATCTGAGACTCTATGTAAGTGTAGCAGAGGTTAAGCCCAGCAGATCCACCAGCAGGGTTATACAATCTACAGGTAAGTGGGAAACAGCAATGATGATTATAGGAGGGTAGTTCCACGAGGGAGGGATTGTCTCTTCCATTCAATGGTAGGTTCTCAGCACCTAGCCCACTGCCTCACACATAGTGGGACCCAATATGCTTGTTGAATGAATGATAAGCAAACATACTCAGGGCAATGAAGAAAGCGGTGCAGGGACCCAGATTCCTAAAAAGTTTCGAGAATGTCAGTGAGAGGCGGAAGGAGGGGATCTGGAAGAGCTTCCGAGTCCTGAAGCCTCTTACCTGGGGAGGTTAGGGACCTGGAGTTGACATCCAAGCAGGGAGTGGACGTGGATGCAGACGGAGCGCCATCCATGTGGACTCTCCGGAGGAGCCTCTCGTTTCCCAGGAGGATGTCAGTCTTACCGCCTGCTTCCCACTTGCCAGACTGTTCAGAGTTGGCCTCAGGAGATCAGAGGAAGCCAGTCCCCAGGCTTCTGACGAGGGTGAAATTTCCCTCTACCGACGGTGCTGCCGGAGATGTCCAGGGAGGCTCGTCCACAGTGCACGGCTGTGTCCCCTCCTCCAGGTTTTCTAAATTCATCCTCCAATCTAGAAAGCTACCAACTTGGACTCTATTAAGAGAAAATCCTTTGGGAAAATCCCCCCCCCCCAGAAAGTGATTTTAGAACCTGCGCTGAGAAAAACGTGGTTTCCATTGAGAAAGGGCCTTGAGGCAACTTCAATTACAACGAGTAAGGTGCCGCTGGATTCTCCAATCACAGATGAAAACGACTGAGCTACTCGCGTTTCCCTTTTTGCTTTGGCTTCTAGGAAATTCATCCACAGCAGTTACATTTTTCTTTATGGTTGGCTTATTTATGAACAGTTTTCTTAGCTCTGATTTTCTGTTTCTATCGTCTTATGTCATTGCAGTAACAGTTGCCTCAATGCTTGTAGAAACAGCTCAATGCAGAATAGTGAACCGAAGTGCCTCCCTCCTGTTCATCCAGGTGGAGTCCTCAATGAAAAGGGAGGGCAGCTGCTGACCCTCCTGGGCATGGTGGCCACCAGGTGGCACCAAAGCTTTCCCACAGCCATCTTCAGCGAGGCGATTTGGCCTGAAAGTGTTTCTACTCTGTTTCTTGAGCTGCATGCCACATGCATTCCAAGTGGCTCCTGACCAAAATGCACTGGGGATTGAGCAGAGCTGACCTAAGTCTAGCTGGGCTCTTTCAGGCGTTCAGCTTATAAGATCAATGTTTCAAATGGGCATGGCGACTCCCAACCAGATCAGGCCCGCGGGGGCTATGCCACTTCTCGGAAGCAGCTGTTTTTCTACACCATTTGAGGCAACTGGAAGTGCGATCTCATCACAAACAGAGAGTTTAGGGAGGGTGCCACAGGGGGAGGGGAGGGGAAGGGGACTTTTCAGCTTCACCAAATGTTCTGGTGACTTCTGTTTGAAATGAATCTTATTCGTAATAGTGGCCACATAACTGGACAATAGTTAGCACCCTTTTAAAATAGAAACTGCTAAAAAGACCCAGCTGTGCTGACATTACCATCCATTTTTGCCTCTGTTATTCACTCTGATAAATTATGTCATTTAAAATCATTTGTATTTAGGCCTATGTGCCCAAGACGAGATAAAAGCCTTCAGTAGAAGTTGGAAGAATGTAATTATATGAAAATTTTTAAACTCTGGTTCTTGACCCCTCATGAATTGATTTGTTATAATTGTGACAAAAGGTGTTTCTTTTGAGAATCCATGTTTATTCCTGTTGATTTCTCTTGTTATTTCCTCAAGCCTCTGCAGTACCTCATCAATTGTATTTCCAGAGGATTAAAGAGCAGTGGAACCCTACTAGTCAGAAGGAGGCATCTGTGTCCAAATCAGGCACAGGGAGCAGTGTGGCCTTGGGCAGAGAGATGGAAGGGGACTCTTCAGCTATTCCCTCTGCTCTCCTGCAGTTCAGTCCGGGGATCACTGGCCAGAACTGGTCACTGATGCTGCTCTGTTTGGGAGGGGAAACTCCCCAGTTAATTTGCCTTTAAAAGTCTCTTCCAGGAATTCCAAGTCTACTCAGGCACCTCGTACCTGATGGATTGGAGAATTCGTTCATCTACAGAAAGCCCGGGAGGGGGATAAGAATATACCTACATTTCTTATGATTTCCTTGGAGCCGAAGACATCAGCTATGAACTCGAATGTCTTACTGCTGAAGGTGAACATTTGTTCTCACCTGGAATGCACTGGATAGTCCAATAGACTCCCATGTGACTGTTCCTCTGCTGTTGGGTCCCTCAGCTCAAGAAGCATCCAGCACTACAGTCCATTTAGTATAGCCACACGTCAGCCCTCCCACCATCACAAAAGCCTCTTTGGTGGCTCCTCACCCACCTGCATGGTGACCTAAGTGGAGTGACCCAAGATGAGTGCTGTAAGGCTCAACAGGTCAGTCAGGGACTGCCCTGAGAGATGTTTGATCTTTAATGCAGGTGCTAGGTGTTTAGGGTAGGCCACAGTGGGACCATGAGCAGTAATTTTGGGGAATCTTATTAGGAAAAGAGGCAAATAAGGGTGGGCTGTGAACCAGACAAGGGCACTTACTAACACTGCCCTCCGGGGCAAGCTGGGGAAAGTGCAAGGCCAACAAGAAGAAACTGGGTCCCATTAAATGACCAAAAAATTAGGAATCAGATCTAGATTTCCTATACCACAGAACTTAATTCAGAAAAGAAATAATTTATGAGACAACCTCAATGTTATTAAATTGAACAGATTTATTGAGCACCTACAATATGCCAGCATCTATCACACAATAATAATCCAAGAGTCGGATCCACCAGTGGGTGTCAGGAACCCCCCGGGTGGGGAAAGATTAGTATATGACCAGAAATGGAAGCGAGGGATCTGCCAGTAGAGTCTCTGTGTCTCCTCCACACAGTGACTGCCGTTTCTGACCATAGCTCTGGAGGGGAGCGGGAGGGCGGCCTTAATGTGGTCTGTGGTGGGCTTCCCTTTCCTTCTCTCTGTTATGGGGGCCCCTTGCATGTTCTGCTCTTGAACGGTGCTGCTGACATCTCTTGGGGTCAGCTGGTTGAATGGACTGTGCTGAGGGTGGGTCACTGAAGAAGGGTGGGACCAGAATTGGGCTCTCGGCAATTCTAGGGATGCATGCAAACACACTAAACTAAGGGTACCAATTAAGGATGAAGACAGGAGGAGACAGCACTTGGCAGTTGGCCTCATTGATTTTTGTTGCTCCTGAGCTGGCCCACTGTTCCTTGTAGGCTGAGTTTCTCCTCCTCCCTAAGGTTAGCCTGTCGCTCTTTATCATCAGCTACTGACTGTGAGTCACATTCCTGGGCAGGAGCTGGACAGCTCGTGGCTTTCTAGGAGTCATTTCTGCAGAAAAGCCCCTCACTACTCTGCGCCCTGTGGTCCTGCAGCCATCCGCGTGACCCGAGGAGCCCGCTTTCTTGGCCTCATGCACCACAGCAGCAGGAGACTGCAGACCTAGATTCTTGCTGTTGACTGTGGCTGGGGTCTTAAATCAACCTCAGTCTAGCACAAGGATTGGCAAACTATAACTCTTGAGCCAAATCTGACCCGCCACCTGTTCTTGGAAATAAAGTTTTATTTGAACTCAGTCACGCCCACTCATTAACATATTGTCCATGGCTGCTTTCATGCTATAATGGCAGAGTTGAGTAGTTACAATAGAGAGCATTTGGCTAGCAAAGCTCACTGCATTTATTATCTAGCCCTTTCCAGAAAAACTTTGCTCACTCCTGGTCTAGAATTATGAGACCATATTTTTATTTACTTAAGCTGGAGCAGAATGTTGTATATCGGAGTCCTGGGATATCCAGGACGTTTGGGGGAAGATCTAAAGCTTTCATTGACAGGGATGGCAGGGATCGAGGCTTCAGTGCAAGTCTGATGACTGGCCACAGCTGCCTGGAAGGCTGTGTCTGGACTGGGGTGGGCGCTTCCGGAGAGGTGAAAACGGGCTGTGCTAATGTAGGCAAGGAGCACCAGACTGAGAAATAAACAAGGAAAATACACACTCTTCTTCCCCAAAAGTAAACGGAACCAGCGACAGCATTGCCCCACGGCATTGCCCCACGCCTGCACTTGGCATTGCTGAGGCTGGAACTGTAAATGTGCCCTTACTGGAGTGGGAGAGAGGTGAGATTAAATACCATTCACATGGTGACAGAAGCAGACAACAGTCTAGAGGGCCACGGTCAGGGGAAAGCTCCAGCTTCAATTAAGGCGCCTGGCACTCTGGCAAGGCCAGCACTGCAGCTGTGTTTGTTCAGGGGGCACTGCGTGGAAAGCTTCCTAGTGTGCAACCCAAATGCTGGTTAAAATGTTACAAGTTATTTAAAGATGAAAAGACAAGGTGACAATGCATATTTGCCAGAGAAAGTGGTATACAATGTGGGTCCTGCCATTTATATAGATATACATAGACAGCCCTTAGACTGCAGGTTTTAAAACTGAAAAACCCTAAGACTGCCTACCCAGTCAACATCCTATTATTCTGTAATTCCAATGAACGATTGGTCCAAATAAATCCAGGTGCGGGAGTGGCCTTCTGTGGCCCTCACTTGCTACAGTGAATGTGCTAGTATTGTCGAAAGGTGAATACAAATCTAGATTTTGGAACTGAAATCAGATTTTAAATGCACCAAGAGTCTGCTACTCATGCTAAATCCTTATAAAGCTTATTAGCCACGTTAGTGAAAATCCAGATTTTTGGATGTTGCAAGACATTAAGTGTGTATGACTGTAGCCTGATTGATGCTTACAGCTGTCTTATCAAGCTGACTTTTTCATTCTAAGCACTACTTGGAAATTATTAGGGTCACTGCTCCTTGGTAATATAAATCTACCTGGGAAGTCCAGGGTTGTACATTGTTACTGTGCACTCATTTCTCACACAGTTCACTCAAGTCACTCAGTATCTTTGCTACAGTCAACATTTTGGCTTTAATTGTTCTTTCTTCACAGCATGAAAAATGGCCAAACCAGCTCTGGCTGACTAGGTTTTTTTTCATTTCAAGTAATTGTATGAAGCATTTAAAGTATGTAAATGCACTAAACCATATCTCAAATGGAACTGAGTAATTCAAAAAATATATTTTATGACTTAAGTTATTGGCATAAAAATGCCAGTATTTTTCCACCTAGTCCCTAGCGTGGGTGGCATGGCGAATGGGGGGCTGGGATAGATGACTAGGTTCCAGACAGACCTGGGGAAGCTGAGTTGTGTGAATGAAAACAACAGCGTAGAGGTGCTCAGATATAGAATTCCTCTGTGTCACTGTCCCCGGGCCCAGCCAGTGCTGGGGATGGTGTGATGTACCTGCCAGTCTGCTCGGTGTTGGGAGCATCGCCAGGGAGCTTGGAGGATGACCCTGTGAGGGTGGTGGCACCAGAAGCTGGGGGAGCGGCAACCGCCGTTGCCAAGGAGCTGGAAGGCCCTTCAGTGAAGAGAGGGAGGGAAGCCCAGGAGGTCTCCGTGGTCACCCCACTCCCAGCGGGTAGTGGTCCTTCTCGGGAACCTTTGTGCTTGGAGCAGTGGCTGCCACAGCGTTCGGAGGGGAGGGGTGTTTCCAAGGCGCTAAAGAATCTACTGGGTGCAGAATACGCAGAGACCACGGACAGGTCCGAGGAGGACAGCCGCAGGCCCGTGTCCACATCTGTCTCCTGGGACCCCTCTAAGTCATCGATGGAGAGGAGGTGGCCGTGTCTCCACTCCGATGCCCGGTGCCCTGGGGCACCTGTGTTTGAAAAACACTGTGGTACAGCCGAGAAGGCTGGGTCGGGGTCTTCTGTGGGCAAACAAAACAAGGACTTGCTTCTCTGGAAAGACCACGGAAGGCCAGGAGTGCTGCTGGCTCGTGTGGTCAGTCCAGTAGGGGTTGCTGTCTGCTGCCAGGAGGACGGCTCGATGTGGTGCAGCTCGGGGAAGGCCTGGAGTGAGGTTTCTTCTCCGAGGAGTGGTGAGCTCTGCTGGGTTTAGGAAACTTCTTGTGCACCCTTTGCGCCTGTAGGGGGAAGAGGGCATATCCCACTAGTCACCTGGGAAGGGGATTTATTGTTAAATACATCCTGAAACACACTTTCTCATAATTGGAAACTTCTAGCGACATCATAGCAACCAATTTCATTCTCCAAACTCTAAAGCAAAGACTGAGGTAGCAGGGCTTGGGGTGGTAGCAATCAGGACCTAGGAGGAGACACAGCCCCTGTCACAATAGTGGATAATACTTCAAGTCCACATGCAAGGGCCTCAACAATTAGCCACACAATGAGGGCCTGGCTGAGAGGAGGTAAGAATTACCATTAAATGCACAACGGATGCCTCAAGGTTCCTCCCCTCTGACCACAGCACTGCTTGGGAGTGTTACTGCTGAGAGGATGGAAGCATTCCGGATGGGATAAGCACATAGCCCTGAGTGGTTTGGCTCAGGATGGGATAAGCACAGACAATCTCAGATCAGATGGACATGGGATTTGACTCCAGTACCTGGGTGATCACAGGACACACCCTAGGGCTGGCCATGTCAGGGTGGTACTAGCAAACCTTCAGTGAGTAAGGGGCTATCAGGCCATTAGCATTTATTTACCTGCTATTAGGAATCTCTTACTGTATATTTTGCCTTTCAGAGACGGCACAGGAAAGGGAGCTGTGACTACTGACTAATCCCTTGGATGCCCCGTAGGGTGTAGACAAGCAGTTGCACCCTTCATGCCTCACCCCTGTCCTCCTATTCTCCCACCCTCCCTGCAGCTCAGACAGGAACACGTTACTGTTGCACAAATCTGGGACCTCCATTCCACCTGGCTCTGCTTCTCTCAGATTCTTCCTCTGGTCTGGCTCAAAGCCCAAGCCTACAGGGCAACCTTACAATGCAAAGTTTCAATTTAATAGCAGATTTAGGGATAGTGGGTCTTGTTCTATTTAGTATAGAATCTGATTTATGAATCCCTGATATAAGAAAAGGATTCTGACTGCAGCTAACTAAAAGGGATATTTCCTGGCACCCAGCAGGCTAACCTACCAGCCCTTCACTAGACACCAAACACCCTGCCT